TAATCCTAGCACTTTGGGAGGCTGAGGCGGGCAGATCACCTGAGGTCAGGAGTTCGAGACCAACCTGGGCAACATGGTGAAACCCCATCTCTACTAAAAATACTAAAAAATTAGCTGGGTGTGGTGGTGCGTGCCTGTGTTCCCAGCTACTCGGGAGGCTGAGGCACAAGAATCGCTTGAACCTGGGTGGCGGAGATTGCAGTGAGCCGAGATTGCTCCACCGCACTTCAGCCTAGGCAACAGAGCAAGACTCTGTGTCAATAAAAAAAAAAAACTCTATTTTTAAATCGTGGTTAAATATATATAACATAAACATTCACATTGTTCTACAACCATTAGCGTCATCCATTTCCAGGACTTTGTCATCTTCCCAAACAGAAACTCAGGACCTTTGAACAGAAGCTCCCTGCTGCCCCCTTCCCCCAGGCTCTGGTAGCCTCCAGTCTACTTACCATGTCTACTTGACTACTTAGGTATTTCATATAAGTGGAATCATACAAATATTTGTCCTTTCGTGTCTGGCTTCTTTATTTCATTCTTTTGAGACGGAGTCTCTCTCTGTGGTGCCCAGGCTGGAGTGCAGTGGTGCAATCCTGGCTCACTGCAACCTGTGCCTCCCTCCCAGGTTCAAGTGATTCTCTTGCCTCTGCCTCCTGAGTAGCTGGGACTTCAGGCATGCATCACCACACCTGGGTAATTTTTGTATTTTTTTGGTAAAGACAGGGTTTCACCATGTTGGCCAGGCTGGTCTCCAGCTCCTGACCTCAGGTGATCTGCCTGCTTCAGCCTCCCAAAGTGCTGGGATTACAGGCGTGAGCCATGGTGCCCAGCCCATGGCTTCTTTCACTTAGCATACTGTCTTGAAGGTTCATCCATGTTGTAGTATGTATCAGAATTTTCTTCCTTTTTTAAGTTAATAGGCCATTGTATGAATATACCACGTTTTGTTTATGGACTTTTGGGTTGCTTCCACCTTTTGGCTGTTATGAATAACGCTGCTATGAACAAGAATGTACAAATATCTGTTGGAATCCCTGCTTTCAGTTCTTCGGGATATATGCCCAGAAGTGGCATTGCTGGATCATATCGTAATTCTATGTTTAACTTTTTGAGGCACTGCCACGCCGTTTTCCACAGTGGCTGTGCCTTTTCTCATTCCCCCTAGAAGAAATACATGAGAATCTCTTAAAGACACTGGTGCAGCTCTCTATGCCAGCTGGTGAGGCGGGGACAGGATGAGGACCACCCTCCACCTGGAGAGATTTTGGCAGAGTCACGTGAGGACATACCCAGATTGACAAGGCAAGGCCTAGTGACAGTGGAAGGGGCCCTTTTGGTGTTTGAGTTTCTGGCTTATGCCGTGCATAGCTGCATCACTTTGGTTGGATTATGTCATAGTGTTAGACAGCAAGAAGGACATGGGTTTGAGTCCTGCCTTTACTGTGGCTGTGTGACCTCAGGCAAAGGACTTCATCTTCCTGGGCCTTGATTTCCTTCTCTGTACAAATAAATCAGAAAAGTAACAGGGTTGGGGGTGGGCGCTCAGTGAAGTAGTGCAAGTACAGGGCTTAGTGCAGGTCCTGGCAGGTGGCATGTGCCCAGTCAGGGGGTGCCATTGTCATTATGATGTATTCCTGGGGAGTCTGTTGAGGGCGAGCATCTTGGTGGCAACTTATGCACCTAAAGCCCAAGGTTAAGAGCCTACGTGGTATCCATTACTGTGCTAGGATTTGAGGCTGGAGTGCCGCAGTAGGGTCTGTGAGATGTTGTCCAGACCCCCTTCAAGGAAGGACTTGCTGTCCCACTTTGTGGAGGTGCTTTCAGTGGCCCCCTCCAGCTGTTGGCAACTTTAGGGTCTGCCTCAGCTACAGAGAGTGCCTTGCTCAAAGTCACACTCTTCCAATGACCTTTTAGTATGGGGGAATAAAGGCCTAGTCACCTCTGGACATATCTGGACAACTCTATGATGGGCTGAATAATTTCTCCTCCTTCCCACCAAGATGCCCATGTCCTAGTTTCCAGAACCTGTGAATATGTTCATTACCTTACAGGGCAAAAGGGACTTTGCAGGTGTGACTAAGTTAAGGATCTGGAGATGGGGAGATTGTCTGGCATTATCCTGGTTGGCCTCATGTCATCACAAGGGTCCTTGTAAGGGAGAGGCAGGAGGATCAGAGTCAGAAAAGGAGACATGACAACAAAAGCAGAGGTCAGAGTGAATGTAATGGCCAGCTTGGGAGGTGCAAGAAGGGGCTGCGAGCCAAGGGATGCAGGTGGCTTCTAAAAGTTGGAAAGGGCAAGGAAACGGATTCTCCCCAGAGCCTCCCGAAGGAATCAGCCCAACTGACACCTTGATTTTAAGCTTCTGACCTCCAGAACCGTAAGAGAATAAATGTGTTGTAAGCCCGTAAGTAAGTGGTCATTTGTTCCGCTGCCGTAGGAAAGGAGTCCAACTCTGCAGGGCCATTCTAGCTGCAGGGCTCCCCAGGGTCTGGCGGTTAGCAGAGGCTGTCACTGAGCCTGCCTCACAACTGTCTGCTCCCTCTGTCCAATCCCACTCTCTTCCCCTCCCTTCCCCAGGCCATGGTGCCACGGGATCTCCCTAAATAAACCCCCTGCTCCTTAAACTCCATCTCATGAGTCTACTTCATGAGGAACCTGCCCTGAGACAGTTGGCATTTTTTTTAAATGCTTTATTATGGAAAAGTTCGAACATATATAAAAGTAGCCAGAATAATGTACTGATCTCCCATGATCATATCACCCAGCTTTGACAATCGTGTTTGTTCTATAAGGCAACGGTATTTTTATTTTTTGAGACAGAGTTTCACTCTTGTTACCCAGCCTGGAGTGCAGTGGCGTGATCTCAGCTCACCGCAACCTCTGCCTCCTGGGTTCAAGCTATTCTCCTGCCTCAGCCTCCCAAGTAGCTGGGATTACAGGCATGCACCACCACACCTGGCTAATTTTTTTGTATTTTTAGTAGACACGGGGTTTCTCCATTGTTGGTCAGGCAGATCTCGAACTCCCATCCTCAGGTGATCTGCCCGCCTCAGCCTTCCAAAGTGCTGGGATTACAGGGGTGAGCCACCGCACGCGGCCGGCAATGGTATTAATAGCTTAAAGGGAGAAGCAGAGCTCCTGCCCTGGAGATGATGACAGTCTAGGTGAGGAGTGAAGATATTGCAGACACCTCAGGGGCCAACAGTGCCCAGCAGCAGCGACCACGCCACCCAGGACTGTCAGGCCAGGGGAGCAGAGAAGCATCCTTGTGGACAGGCAGCAAAGGAGAACCGGCAGGATGGGCCACGTCATTGTGAAGGAGTGGCTCCTGTGGTCCTGGGCACACCTGAGTTTGAGGCAGGGGGCACAGAGCCCTTAGAGAGAGTAGGTACAGCACATCATCCGCTTTTGTGTTTCATTCCATTGTCTTTCTAATCTGTTTTTGTTTCGTTTTAATGGCCCTCCATCTGTTTCTCCGGACTCTGTTAATAACAACCATGCTAGAACACTGCCAGGTACTGGGCTAAGCACTTTCCACAGCTTATCTCCCTAATCCTCCCAACCGCCGGAGGAGGCAGATACTATTTTTATCTCCATTTAATTTATCCCCATTTCACTGAGACTCAGTGAAGGAAGGCCACTTGGGTTTCCACGGATGGTGCATTCGTTTCCTGAGGCTGCTGGAACAGAGTACTCCAGACTGGGCCAGACTGGGTGGCTGACAACAAGCATGGATTCTCTCGCTGTTCTGGAGGCCAGCAGTCTGAAACTAAGGTGCCGGTGGGGTCACACCTTCTCTGGAGGCTCTCGGGGAGGATCCTTCCCTGCCTTGACCAGCTTCTGGGGGTTCCAGGTGTTTCGTGGCTTTGGCTGCATCACTCCAATATCTGCCTTCGTCTTCTTGCCACCTTCTCTCTATGTGTTTTTCCTCTATGTGTCTCTTACAAGGACCCCTGTCATTGGATTTAGGGCCCACCTGAATAATCGAGGATCATCTCATCTCAAGATCCTTAATTACATCTGCAAAAACCCTTTTTCCAAATATGGTCACATGCACAGGTTCTGGGGATTAAGACACGGGCATAGGTTTTGCGGGGCCACCATTCAACCCACTGAAGGTCCCATGAGGCAGAACAGGGGTCAGAACCCAAGAAAAAGGATCAGTTGTCACTTCAATGTGATAGGATCTTGCTGAGAAGGGTTGCACCAGTAGGAATCCTTTGTGGTGGTTTTAAAACCTGTCCACAAATTCCTTAACACTCCTCCCACCAAAATGTGGCATCTCTGCCCTGCCCCTTGAATCTGGGTGGGCTTGTGACTCACTTGTAACCCAAAGAACATAGCGAAGGGATGCCGCGTGACTTCCAATGGTGGATCAGAAACTATGATACAGCGACAGCCTTTTTTTTTTTTTTTTGAGACAGAGTCTCGCTCCGTCACCCAGGCAGGAATGCAGCGGTGCGATCTCAGCTCACTGCAAACTCTGCCTCCTGGGTTCACGCCATTCTCCTACCTCAGCCTCCCGAGTAGCTGGGACTACAGGTGCCCACCACCACACCCAGCTAATTTTTTTTTTTTTTTTTTTTTGTATTTTTAGTAGAGATGGGGTTTCACCATGTTAGCCAGGATGGTCTCAATCTCCTGACCTTGTGATCTGCCTGCCTCGGCCTCCCAAAGTGCTGGGATTACAGGCGTGAGCCACCGTGCCCAGCTGTGACTGCCTTTTTTGAAGAAACATTTACCTTTGGAGCTCTGAGCTACCATATGAGCCATCTGACTGCCCTGCTACCACTACGCTGGGAGGAAACCCAGGTCACATGGAGAGGTCACCTGTAGGTCTTTCTTTCTTTCTTTCTTTCTTTCTTTCTTTCTTTCTTTCTTTCTTTCTTTTTCTTTCTTTCTTTTTCTTTCTTTTCTTTTTTTTTTTTGATGGAGTCTTGTTCTGTTGTGAAGGCTGAAGTGCAGTGGCACGATCTTGGCTCACTGCAACCTCTGCCTCCCGGGTTCAAGCTGCTCTCCTGCCTCAGCCTCCTGAGTAACTGAGACTACAGGTGCCTACCGCTGCCCGGATAGTTTACCTTTAGGTGTTCGGATCTGCAGTCTAGCTGGGATCCCATCGACAGACAGCATTGCGCCCCAGGCCTGTGAGTGAAGAGACCTCCACATATTCCAGCCCCACCCCTAGCCATGGAGTCTTCTCAGCTGAGACCCCAGACATCACGGAGCAGAGAGAAGCAGTCCCTGCTGTCCCCTGGCTGAATTCCTGACCCTCAGAATCTGTGAGTCTAATCAAATAGTTGTTTTCTGCCACTTAGTTTGGGGGTAGCTTGTCACACAGCAGCAGTAACCAGGACACCCTTCCTTATTGGGAGAGAGAAAGCCTCAAATTGGGGGTTAGCAGTTCCTGAAAAATAGATCAGATTCAGAGAGACAAAAACAAATCTCCAAACAAAACAAAACAAAAAGAAAAGTAAAGATCTCTTGTGTGCAAACCCTCCCCTCACCCCAGTTCCCGGTGGTTCTGAGAAATGAGGTGAGGTGGGGAGGAGGGCACAGAAATGAAAGCAGCCCCTCTCAGCATGAGAAAGCATCCCTCAGGCCTTCCACAGCTGTCTTCCTTCCAGCCCCAGCCGGAGGGAGGCTCGCAGCCCCTGAACGTGGGCTTCGGTGGAGCCCAGCTGCAGTCACAACTTCCCACGCAGCTGCGGTGGACTAGAGGCTCCAGCCACATCCCTCCCCAGGTCCTGGCCACCTGACTGACCACACCATCCCCAAGGTCCAGGCTCCCCTGCAGCAGGGGGCCGGCTGCTCCCCAGTCCTGTCTTTGCCAGGGCCCAGGCTTGTGTGCAGCGCTGGCCGCCAACTACAGCACAAGCCCATTCATTTGCTGGATTGGATTTTTTGGATTTTGTCATTTGCTATGCGGAGGTTTTCTTTCTGACTAATTTGTTTACCAGGTTTAATTCTTCAATCATGTTTTCATTTTAGGAGATTTCAGGGTAATTATGAACTTTGAATAAATCCATCTGAGGCACCAAAGTGCTCTGAGCACAGCTCTGTCAGGGCCTGCCATTTCCTTGCTACATTGAGACTTGGTGGGAATAGTACCTTTACTGCCCACCCCCACCTCAGCTCCTGCAATTGGAAACAGCTGGGCCTCTAGGAGAGGCCAAGGTCAGGATCTGGGAAAAGCCCCAACTGAAAACCACACTGGGGTTGGGGAGAGATGGAATCAGGCCGGTGTGTGAGTGAGGCTGCAGAATTGGAGAGTCTGGGGCCCCACCCCACCCACCTTGCCCAGGCTACTCCCCAGGGCATGGAGCAGAGGGAGCAGACACTGGGGCTGCCTCAGCATTGCCAGCCGCGTGTTTACTGAAGCAGGGTGCAAAGCATTGTTGGGGAGGGAAAAATGCTTCCCTGCACCTATCTAGATTCTTTAGTTGGGTTATGAATTAAATTGACATGAAACAGATTAGCAGGAGAAAAACCATTTTAATTACACACATTCGCATGGGAGTCCCATAAAGCCATGAAACCCAAAGAAGGGCCAGATGATGGAAGCTTGCATCGTATCATGAGCTACAGAAAAGAATAGGGGTTCTGGGCTTCTGGGGGGTGCTGGAGACAAATTTTGGGCGGGTGAGAAGAAATGTCCGGAGAATAAAGGTTGCCTTGTTATGCAGATAAAAGTCTCTTAGGTGATAAAAGTTGAGCAGCTCTCTTCCTGCTACAGATACGTTTACTAATGAAAATGTCCTTTACAAAATGGGAGTTTTTCAGAGCTACTGCTGTGTCTGCAGTTTCTCAAAATAACCAGCTTGAAATAATCAATATGCCAAAGAGGTATATTCTGGGGTGGCATTTTCTGGTTTCCTACAGTCATGTTTTGGGGTGGTGTGTCCTGAGCCCCAGCAGGTGTAGAGACCAGAGGCTACAACTCTAGTTCCAGTATCGTAGCCCTGAGCAGTGGGGCAAAGAGTTTCTGAGCCCTCAGGGGTAAAACAGAAATATATCAAGGATGATGATGTGATGATGACAATTTCTGTTCCATCAGTTTGCAGACTTGTCGCAAAGGAGCTGAGGCATGAGGAGACATTCTGTAAACTGTATCACGTGGCACAGTTGTGAGGTGGTGGTGGTGCTGTGGAACAAGGTCTCTTGGTCATAACAGCAGGATCACACTGGCAGGCTGGGGTGATGTGACACCCAACCAACCAATATAAAGGTAGGAAATGCCACCAGGCCCCCAGATGTCTTGACTCTGTCACTGTTTCTCAACCCAATGGGTCTGGCTCCTGAGTGTGCTGGGATGGTCTCTATGGGAGTATGTGAGTGTATAAATTGGGTTCTGGTCTCAGCACCTTAACAACACCACACAGGAGGGTTGTCTGTGTCCGGAATCTTATTAGCACTAACAAATTAGAGTTGCTTAATCTGCATATCCATATCAAACCTACAGCCAGCTGGGTGGGTGTGTGGTGCAGAACCGGCATGTGCACTACTCATAACTAGGATCAATGCATTAGGCTTAGCTAATTTACATGCAGCCAATTACAGCAATGGTGTAAGGAGCAAAACTGCCAAGAGCACCAATCACATACAGGGAATTCTTCACTGCAGAGTGTAAGACCCCTGAGCTCCTAGAGCTTCATGGCACTTGTTCCCACCACAGAGTATAGGCTGAATGGGAACTCCAGACTTGCTCTGATGAGAATTCGGTAGTAGATCAGATCCACAGTGACAGTGACACCCTAGGCAGGGGCTGGTGCAAGGGAGGGAGTGTCCATACTGTCTTCACTTGGGTTCTCCCAGAATCAAGCCTGGGAGAAGGAAACACCAGCAAAGGCGTGCGGGTGTAAGGCAGGACAGTTAACGAAGGGTGCACGATCAAGCCAGGTACTCCTGTGGGTAACTGCTATGGCTGAATTCTGTCCCTCTCCCAAATTCATGTTTTGAAGTCCTAAACCCCAGGACCTCAGAATGTCATCTTATTTGGAAACAGGGTCCTTAAAGAGGTAATTAAGTTAAAATGAAGTCATCAGGTTGGGCCCTAATCCAATGTGACTGGCGTCTTTTTAAGAAGAGATTGGGACACAGACATACACAGAGAGAAGGCCATGTGAAGACGCAAGGAAAAGACAGCCATCTACAAGCCAAGAAGAGAGGCCTCAGAAAGAACCAACCCTGCTGACACCTTGATCTTGGACTTCCAATCTCCAGAGCTGTGGGAAAATACATTTATGTTGTTAAAGCCCCCCAGTTGTGTGGTACTTTGTTATGCTGGCCCTCACAGACTAAGACAGCGAATACGACCCGTTTCCTTTGGGGGAGACAGTGTACACAGGCTTCTGAGTTATCCCACCTGAGAGGTAAGGAGGCTAGGGTGTTTATCTACCAATTTGTATCAGTCATTTCTTGGGGGGCTGTTCTCGGGGGCATTAACTCCCACACTTCCAGCCTGACACAGGGGCAGGCAAAGTAGTTTGGCAACCAGTAGAAGCCCCCAGATGAAGAAATGCAGGGGTGACCACTGGGAAGCTGAGCCTGAATGCACTCAGAAGTTAAGAGCAAGGGGATTTGTAAGAGGCAATGATAATGATGGCATCTGCTACATAGACCTATGAGACAGTGATGGTCTATCTTAGGTACCCGCCCAGAGGCTAAGGTGCTGTGGACTTTTACCTCTAACCCGAAGGAATGTGCATGTGTGCGGTGTGTCTATTACTAGTGAGATTTTGTCTAGATAGAATACAGACGTTTCTATTGGATAATCCTGTGTAATGTTGTATAACCCTATAATGAATGTTATTTGCATTTATTAGTTTCCATGGTTAGTTTCCATGCCAAAGCCAGCAAATTCAAGGGAACATGTACTAGGGTTCACTGTGGTCTTGGACCCCGGTAACTTTGCTGGTTTCACTAGTGAGGCCTGGAGCAGTTCACTGCCTCTTGCCAATTTTATACTTGTGTCCTGGGCACAGCTAAGATAAGGGTGCTTTGAGTCAGGTTTCTTGATTTCAAGCTGCCGAAACCAACAATAGCTGACTTCGATAGGAAAGGGATTTCTGGAAGGCTGTGTTCACAAACCTGAGGGAAGGTAACAGGACTCACAGTCAAGAACACTTGGGTGGAGGGGTGCATGGGGGGAGGGGGCTTTTTAGCATAGTATCTGTAGGACGCTGTCACTACTGGACACTGGAGGTTGCCACCATGGTGACATTGTCCCTGCTTCTTTATGATGTTCAGTGTTAGTGGGGTTGGAGATCTTAGCTGCTGGGAATGGGGGATTTAGGGAGAGGAGCTTGGTCATGAGCTTCTCTAACGGGGATCAGAGCATGCGTTTCTCCCGTATTACCCAAACCAGGGCATGCCTCCCAAATGGGATAGACACTTGTCTTTGTCACATGGGTGGGGGAAAATTCCAGAAGGGAGGGAAGAGTAGGGCAAGGATTTGTTCCTGTGACTCCTGGCTCATTTGCTCAGTTTCAGGTCAGGCTAGTGGGAACAATGGGTAGATCTGAGGTTTGGCTGGGTGTGGGGTGGGTTCCCTTGACCAGGGATCCCTGTGGGCCCCAGTTGCCACCAAGAAGCAGAAGCAGGAAGACTGAGGGATGCTGGGTGGTCTTATCACAACAAACCACTCCAAAATAGTGGTTTAAAACCATAGCAGTCACTTACGTTGCTTACTAATCTGGGCATTGACTGGGCTCAGCCAGGCAGTTCTCCCTAGGGGTCGCTAGGGTTGCAATGGCCTGGTGGCTGGAGCTGGAGTCATCTCACTCACTTGTCTGCCTCGTGAGCTGGGAAGACTCAAACTGCCAAAGTGGAACCAGATGGGGACTCTTTGGGCGTCCTTCTCTCTGTGTGGTCTTGCTACATGGCCTTTCCAAGATGGTGGCTCAGGACAGTTGAGTTTCTTACATATGAACTCACGGCTTCCAAGAAAGAGAACCAGACAGCTGGGTGCGGTGGCTCATGCCTGTAATCCCAGTACTTTGGGAGGCCAAGGAGGGTGGATCACCTGAGGTCAGAAGTTCAAGACCAGCCTGGTCAACATGATGAAACCCCGTTTCTACTAAATATACAAAAATTAGCCAGGCATGGTGGCAGGCACCTGTAATCCCAGCTACTCAGGAGGTTGAGGCAGGAGAATCGCTTGAACCTGGGAGGCGGGGGTTGCAGTGAGCCGAGATCATGCCACTGCGCTCCAGCCTGGGCAACAAGAGCAAAACTTCTCTCAAAAACAAAACAAAACAAAACAAAACAAAAACAAAAAACCAAAACCAGACAAAAGCTGTATCACCTTTTACGACCTAGTCTGGGAAATCACTTCCAAGTGATAGAGTGGAAGCAGCATCACTTCCACTGTGTTCTATTCGTTCCATGTGAGTCAGGAAGGCCAGCTTTTGGGGAGGGGCAGGGGATTGGACTCCTCCACTCTTTGATGAGAGGACTGCCGCAGAATTTGTGGACATGTTTAAAACCATCACAGTGGGCTGGGCAGTGGCTCACGCCTGTAATGACAGCACTTTGGGAGGCCTAGGCAAGAAGATTGCTTGAGCCCAGGCAGTTCAAGACCAGCCTGGGCAACATAGAGGGACCTCCATCTCTCAAAAACAAAAACAAAAACAAAAACAAAACAGAGAGAAAGAAAAAAATGGCTAGGAGATGGTGAACAGCCACTTCACTTGACGGTTTGACTGGACCAACACATTTTTCATTCTCAATTTTCTAACTTGGCTGCTTGTTTCCCACACTGCAAAAAGGCCAGGGCTCAAACTCCCCAGCAGCATATTAGTAACTAAAATGTTTGCACTTAGCGGGCTGGACTCTAGTTAATCCAGCTTCATCATTATGCCAGGAGAGCTCATTCCAACTGAAATTTGACTATTGGTTTTTAATTTTGGTGCCATTTTTCAAGCTGATGGCTCTTCTGGCTGACAGTGAATTACCCGGGGTGCAAATTAAATACAATAGAATTGCTAATCAGGCCATTAGAATACGTGGACAGGAGGAAAGCTACAAGTTGTCAGACCTGGGTGGGTTCTCTCCTTGCTTTTTGGACAGAATTTGTGTGACTTTGAATGGGCTTATGCATAGAACTGGTACAAATATTGGAAACAGACGCCTGCAGGCAGCGAGGGAGATGGAGCAAGTGCCTGCAAAGCCTGCGATTGTACACCGGTTTGGTTGGTTCCCCTTTGCAGGAAAAATCTTGTCCTATAAGTACTCATGTCCCTGGGGATTGCTGTCTAATGTTCCATACACTCTTCTCATGCAAGGAAGTGTTGAGATTTAATTCTCAACCTCCAGGCCCACAAGGAAGGCATCAAATATCTGACATAATGAACAATGTTTTCGGATTTCTAAATTTAGAGGGAAGGTGAGAATGCACTAGTGGTTTTTCTCATGTCTAATTCTAAGCAAAGACAGAAAGACGGTCGAAGACTTCATGTAGCACATTCAGTCAGAGTTTCTTTGTGTGTGTGTGTTTCTTTAATCCCCACAAGACTAATTGAGAAGAAATAGATTCAGGAGCCACTTCCTAAGGAGGCAGTGCTTGATGCCAAGAGGTAGTTCAGTAAGTCAGGAGGTGTTTGACCATCAGAGAAGATAGAATGTGGTCTTCAAGGGCAAAGATGCAAACCAGGATGCTGTCCAGTAATGCCGCTGGGAGTGGGGGTGAGCTGGGGATCACACCTGCAAGTGAGGGAGGACTCTTACTGAATCAATCACAGCAAACACTTACCAAGGCCTGCCAGCCATGTCTGACCACTTGAAGTGCTTGCAGCATTTAATTTTCACAGCAGCTGTCTGAGGTGTGGATTATGATCACCCCCATTTAATGGATGTTAACTTGGAGGTTAGATAACTTCCTGGAGTGTGTTAGTCAATTTTGCATTGCTGTAAAGGAATACCTGAGGCTGGCTAATTTATACAAAAAAGAGTACGTTTCTGCAGGCTGTATGAAAAGCATGGCACAGGCGTCTGCTCCTGTCGAGGACTCGGGAAGTTTCCAATCATGGCGGAGAGCAAAGGGGGAGCTGGTGTATCACATGGCAAGAGAGGGAGCAAGAGAGATGGGGGAAGGTGCCAGGCTCTCTTAAACAACCAGATCTTGTGTGAACTCATAGAGTGAGAACTCACTCATTACCGCAAGAACAGCACCAAGCCATTCATGAGGGATCCTTCCTCATGACCCAAACACCTCCCACCAGGCCCACCTCCAGCATCGGAGGTCACATTGCAGCATGAGACTTGGAGGGGACAAAAAACATCTAAACCACATCACCAGGGTCACCAGACAAATTCATGGCAGAGCTAGTGTTTATTAGATTGGGTTCAGCTATCAGAGACAGGAGAAAAAATCTGAGTAAGGCATAAACAAGATAGACATCCTTTCTTACAAAAACAAAGATTCGGGGCCAGGTGCAGTGGCTCATGCCTATTATCCCAGCACTTTGGGAGGCCAAGGTGGGAGGATCACTAGAGGCCAGTGATCTCAACATAATGAGACCCTGTCTCTACAAAATTTAAAAAGTAGCCAGACGTGGTGTGTACCTATAGTCCTAGCTACTTGGCAGGCTGAGGAGGGAGGATCGCTTGACACTAGGAGTTGGAGGCTTCAGTGAACTATGATTGTGCCACTGCACTCCAGCCTGGTTAACAGAGTGAGACTCTATCTGTAAAAAAGCCCCCAAACCCATGATGTTTTGAGGTATATAGTCTAATTCCAGTACAGCAGCTCCATAACCATCTGCCACCCAACTTCTTCTTTCTTATTACTTTACCATCTTCAACACATGGTCTCTGCCTTGGGTTGCCAGATAAAATACAGGACACCCAGTTGAATGTGAATTTCAGATAAATAACAGATAATATTTTTAGTATATGTCCCATGCAATATTAAATAATCAAATGAAATTGTTTTGTTCTTGTTTGAGACAGGGTCTCACTCTATCACTCGAGCTGGAGTGTAGTGGCATAATTGCACCTCACCACAGCCTTGACCCCCTGGGCTTAGGTGATCCTCCCGCCTCAGCCTCCTAAGTAGCTGGGACTGCAGGTGCACACTACCATGCCTGGCTTATTTTATGTATTTTTAGTAGAGACAGGGTTTCACCATGTTGTCCAGGCTGGTCCCGAACATGAAATCTTAAAATTAAATGAAGTATTAAATAGTAAAATATTAAAAAATTAAATATTTTTATTTGCTAAACCTGGCAACCCTATCTCTGCCTCATGGTTCAAGATGGCTGCTTATGCTCCAGCCTTCAGGACCATACTTCAGGCAGCAGGAGGAAACGGGATTAAAGAAGGGCCTCCCTTCCTTTGAACACACCTCATGGGAGTCATACCCAAATGAATTTCTCAACTCACATTGGCAACACATGGCTTTTAGGGAGGCTGGGAAATATGATTTCTATTCTGGGCAGCCATGAACTCAGCCAACAATCAGGGCTTCTATATTAAGAAAAATGGATACCAGGGGTCAACTTAGTTTCTGTCACAGCTTTCGAGTCTTGGGGCTTAATCACCCTGCTGTTCTGCCTTTTCTCTATTTCATGAAGGAAAGGGTAGAGAAGACACGTGTGTATTTCACACAGACCTCTTTGGTTCCTTTTGACAATTTCTGTGTGCCTCTTCCCTGATTCCTCCATGAGCTTGCTGCTAACAGCCTGCCCATGTGAAATGCTTCAGAGCCCTGCCTTCGGGCTCACGGAGTCATGTTGCCTACACCTAGGAATTTGGATGGCCCTTAGCAAGTGACTTACTCTGCGGGAGCACGAAAGCCCAGCTCCCTTGGCTGGGGTCAGGACAAACATATAAGTGTAATATACACCTCAGAGCCCATCTGCAGGATCACGCTGAGGCTGGGACTCCCCTGATTGTGTGCCCTGGCTTGGCTTCTTCTCTTCCCTGTCTTGTTTTCTTGACTTCTTTACTGGTCTGTGCAGGAAGCACTTCCTTTATAAATCATGTGCACACAAATCCTGGTCTCAGTGTCTTAGCAGCCTCAGATAAGGGTTTACCCTAGAAAATATAAATAAGAAGTGGGCCAGCACTTTTGAAGACAAAGCTCTTCTGTTGCTGCATACCCCTCTGTGATGAAGAGGCTGAAGTGACTGGCAAAGCCCTTGAGTTTGAATCAGGTCACACCCAGCCTTATGGGGCGAATCCTGTGCTGTGACAACTTGTACTTAGTTGGACATTTAATATTTATTTCAATCTTCTCCAAGCTGTGCGTTTTCTAAGGGAATGTGTATTAGTCAGGATTTGGTTAGGAAAACAGATGGCACTTGGAATTTCAAATAGAGAGGGATTTAACACTGAGGGTTAGGTACTTACAAACCAGTTAGGAGAGCTGGAAGAGCAAAAGTCTCTCAGATTTCCTCCAAACTTCCAGAGCATCAGAAAGTACAGTGAAGAAAGAGCACGCCAGCCTGTGGGACCAAGGTAGCCGATTCTCGGGGAAGTGCCTGGAGGTGGCTGCAAAAGCTTTACTTCCTGTGCCTTGTGTCTGTCTGCTGTTGCAAGAGAAGCAATAATAATCATGGCTTCTACCTCTCCGGCCTTCCAGGTCTTGTGCCAGTACAGTCAATCCTCATTATTTGTGGGTTCCATATTTGCAAATTCACCTGCTCACTAACATTGATTTGTAACCCCAAAATCAATACTTGCAGTCCATTCACAGTCACTCTTGGAAAGAGCTGCAAAAAACTTGAGTTACCTAAAGCCCATGTTCCCGGCTGAGCTGAATAAGGGACCTCTCTGCCTGGTAGTTTGAGCTCTCGTACTATAAACAAGTGTTATTTTGGCCGTCTGGCTAGTGCCATGTTTTTCACATTTTGTGCTTTTTGTTGGTGATTTCACTGTTTAAAATGACCCCCAAGTGTAGTGCTACAGTGCTGTCTAGCATTCCTAAACAGGAGAAGGCAATGATGTGCCTTATGGAGAAAACATGTGTTATAAAAGCTTTGTTCTGGTCAGGCGTAGTGGCTCGTGCCTGTAATCCCAGCATTTTGGGAGGCCGAGGTGGGCGGATCACTTGAGGTTCTCTAGTAGAGAACGCCATCTCTACTAGAAATACAAACATTAGCCAGGCGTGGTGGCGGGCACCTGTAGTCCCAGCTACTCGGGAGACTGATGCACAAGAATTGCTTGAACCTGGGAGGTGGATGTTACAGGAAGCCAAGATCAATATCTACCTTCAAATAATAGTATACTATTTCATATGTAGTTTAAAAACATTATGAGTGTAATTCTAATTCCTCCCTCCCATCCCACGGTACATTTACATATCCTATAAACACACAATGCATTGCTGCTGTGCTGACTTTAGACAGTCATCTTTTAGAGCAATTTAAACATTTTAAAAGGAATTTTTATTTAGCTTTATTTGTTCAATTTCCAACCCTTTTCATTTATTTGTGTAGATCCAAGTCATATTCCTCCTACTTATAACATTTCTTACAGAGCAGTTCTGCCAGCAATTAATCCTCTGTTTTTGTTTGCGAGAGTATTTCTCTTTTACTTTTGAAATATATTTTTTGCTGGGTATAGAATTTGGGGTTGACGTGTTCTTTTGTTGTTGCTTAACATTTTGAAGGTGTTACTTTATTGTCTTTTGACTTGTATGGTTTCTGATGAGAAGTATGCCATGATTCTTATCTTTGTTCTACTTTATGTAATATGCCTTTTTTCTCTGGCTGCCTTTATAATTGTTCTCTTTGTTTGTTGGTTTTCAGCAGTTTAAATATGATATACCTAGATTTTTGTTTGTTTGGTTTTGCTTTCGGTTTTTGTTTTACCCTGCTTGGTCTTCTCTGTGCTTCATGGATCTGTGGTTTGGTGTCTGCCATTTATTTTTGGAAAATTCTTAGCCATTATTCCCTCAAATATTTCTCCTGCCTTGTTTGCTCTTCTCCTTTTGGGATTTCAGTTACATGTACTTCAGACTGTTTGATAATTTCCCACAGATCTTTGATGCTCTGTTCTGTTTTTTCCCTCCATTCATTTCTCTTTGTGTTTCAGTTTGAATAATTTCCACTGACTTATCTTCAAATTTGCTGATTCTTTCCTCAGCTGTATCAGTCTCTTGATGAGCCCATCCAAGGGACAGTAGTGTCTTTCATTTCTTGCATTTCCATTTGATTCTTTCTTATAGGTTTATTCTCTCTGCTAAAATTACCCATCTGATCTTCCATGTTTATTCCCAACTCTCCTTGGAGGCACCTGTCTTTTCTTAGAGTTTGGATTAGTTGGTTGCCCTGTGACTTCAGCTGTCTGATAAGTTCAAGGTAAGTTGTGATTTGCAGATTGTCTTTCCTTTTTTGTTGTTGCTGTAAGGGTGGGAAGAATGCTTTTACCAGCCTTCTACATTAGAAGCAGACTGCTGCTATTCAGAGAGAGATGTTTCTGTGGAAAAAGTACAAGACTTAATTTTGTGTCTAATTCCTGGTTTCTTTCAGATCCTCATGCTATGCACATATAACCAAATCAAGGCACCAGTATTTACTGTGGAATTCAAGAGGAAAAGCTCAGTCTCTGTGGGAATGGCTTATAAACAGTGGTAAGTGGTATAAAATGACAGATCAAATGTAATATGTTACCCCTAGTTGCAGGTGTGGTAGGTTCTTAAAAACAGCCCCCAATGAATCATGTCTCCCAGTGTTCACATCCTTTGCAATGTTTCTTTGCAGCTCTTTCCGTCATGAAGTGGAGTTACTTCTCCAGCCTTTGAATCTGCTGTTTTGATCAACAGAATATGGCTAAAGTGACATATGTATTTGTGTCTGGGTGAAGATGGGTGGCATTTAAGTCCAGGGCTTAGGAGTTCTGGTAGCTTCCACTTTTGCCTGGGGGATTTCCAGCCACCATGTGAAGAAGCTCAGATTAACCTGCTGGAGATGGAAGCCCCTTAGGAGGAGAGCCAAGCTCCCAAATATATTAGTGAACCCGCTAACCCCATGAAAAGAGAGAGGCCCAGCCATCCCAGTTAGCGCCAGCCATGCGAACCTCCCCATCTGAGCCATCAGACATGTAAGTGTGGCCAGTTGGGGTTTTCCAGCTCCAGTCAAGGTGTTGCAGCCCCAAATTCCTGAACCACAGAACTGTGAGATGCAAAAAGGTAGTTGTTTTATGCTACTAAGTTTTGGGGTGGTTTGTTAGGAAGCAATAGCTAACAGCAGAGACTTGTAGTTGCTCCACAATACCCCTTCTCTCCCTTTTCCTCTTTAAAAGAAAGGCTGAGTTTTCTAGCTCGTTAAATGGCCACCTAAAATAAAAATTACATTTCTCAACTTTCCTTGCCAGTAGATATAGTCATATGACTAAGTTCCGGTCAATGACATCCAAGTAAGAATGGGTATATGCAACTTCCAGTGTAGTATTTATTTTGGAGGCCTTTATCTTACCAATATATCAGAGTCTAGCACTGGAAAGATAAGAATACCATGATCATCTTTGCTTCCTACCCTACCCAAATGAGATATGGGTTGCTTTGGAGTCTGTTAGGAAAAAAACAAGAGCAACAGCAACCCAAACACTGTAGTGTAGACAGGCCATGAGGATCAAAAGGTCGATGGAGGAAAAAAAGGAGCTAAAAATGATACAGTGAGCACCAACTGAAAAGACTATCTTTAACCCACTAGAAGTTTCTAACATTTTGAGTACCTTGAAAAATAAGTGGTGGTGAATCTTCACATTGAAAATGAATTTAAATCAAGACATTAGGCCTTTTGACTTTGGGCATGGAATGTTCTCAGGGTAATAACACAGGTCTGGTACTTGCACCTTAATTACCCACAGACAGTTTATGGCTGTGTTCTTGCTGTAGTAGAACTTATGGGAATCTCCTTGCCATATCCTGGACCCAGGTAAATAGTCCTTCCAGGTGTGGTAGAAAGTTGAGAGGTTTGGTTAAAACACTGCATGGGAAGCCAAGACTAGCATGGATGCCTTCCTAGGGCTCCTCTTCTTGTTAGCATTAGGCTTTGTGTATTCTTCATCTCTCTTGATTCTGTCACCTTCTCCCTCTCTCTCTCCATGGGCACTTCCCTGTGTTCAGCCTTTGCAATTTCTCTCTGGGGCTCCCTGTCCTCATGTTGTCACCTCGAATCCATTCCCCACTCTGCACCTAAAGTAATTTCTCTAGAGAGTATATCAGGTTCATGACATACCTGTTTTTACAATCCCAGCAAATCTCCCCAATCCTTCCATAGGAAGAAGAAAGCCACGCTCGGGCTCTGTGTGATCTAGCACCACCTTCTTTCCTTCCCTTATCCTTCCATTCCTCCTCTTTCATATGCTGGATGATATGTCCAGCCACCCTGGATGACTTGAAAACTCCTGAAGCACCCCAGCTATCAAATCCTTAGAGCCTCTTTCCTGGCCCCTTCTTCTAAGACAATTCTTTCTTACCTTTTAAGACTCAGATCATGGCCAGGCACGGTGGCTTAAGTCTGTAAACCCAGCACTTTGGGAGGCCGAGGTGGGCGGATCACCTGAGATCAGGAGTTCGAGACCAGCCTGGCCAACATGGTGAAACCCTGTCTCTACTAAAAATACAAAAATTAGCCAGACGTGGTGGCAGGTGCCTGTAATCCCAGCTACTCAGGAGGCTGAGGCAGGAGAAGCTGGGGAGGTGGAGGTTGCAGTGAGCCAAGATCGCGCCACTGCACTCCAGCTTGGGCAACGGAGCAAGACTCCGTCTCAAAAAAAAAAAAAAGACTCAGCTCAGGTGTTCAGCCACCCCTTTGAGAAGGTCCCTCAGATTAGGGACCTTCTTTGTGTTTCAAGCATGCCTCTCCTCATTACATTTGTCAGACTATTTTTCTGATGATCAGTCTCCCCTCAAGGCTGTCAAGTGCTTAATGTGAGTGCAGCACCCACTGCTAGTGCCCCAGAGCCTTCCAGCACTCACCATTTCTGTGCCCTGCAGCGTGGGGCAGGATGAAAGTGCCAGGGGCTTAATGCCTTCTGAGAGCAGCTCTCAACCAATGACTGATGGGAGTTGGCGTATAACTACCCCAGCTCCCTTGCCCTTGAGTGGGTAACACTGAGGCATGTGCTCTTGGCCATTACACACAGTTCACCTGTGGAAATGAGCTCCAGCTGCCCACAGTGGTAGCCAGTAAAGCCCACCATTTAGTGCCTGATTTCCTTCCCTTGTCTCACTTCCCTACTTCTCTTCTGGTGTTTCTTATACCTCCCAAATAAACCACAAGCCAGCACTCATCCTCTTATCACAGGATCTGCTCTGGGGAAATCCAAACCATGGAGGTATCTGTCTTATTGTCTTTGCATCTTTCCACAGCACTGAGTTTAATCCCTGGCACAAAGTAAGTCTTTGATGATAGTTTGTTGTCTGGCTGACTGTGTCTGTCTTTTTGAGTGAATAACTGAATTAATTAATGGTTATAATGACAAATTTTCTGGTTTTATCCCTTATCTGTCTTGTGATAGACACAGAGATGTGTCACCAAATCTGCCTTCAATAAAGTTCTTGTTCACTTTGGGAGGCTGAGGCGGGCGGATCACTTGAGGTCAGGAGTTAGAGACCAGCCTGGCCAACATGGTGAAACCCTGTCTCTACTAAAAAAAAAAATACAAAACTTAGCCAGGCGTGGTGGTTCATGCCTGTAATCCCAGTTACTCAGGAGGCTGAGGCAGGAGAATTGCTTGAACCCGGGAGGTGGAGGTTGCAGTGAGCCGAGATCGCACCACTGCACTCTAGCCTGGACAACAGAGCGAGATTCCAAGAAAGTTTTGTTGTCCATTCATGGAGTGTGCAGAGAGCACATAGCTCCCAGCTGTCAGCTCTTCCAGTCTGTCTCAGCTGCAGAGAGCCACCTCACTCCAGGCCACAGCCTCCTCAGGGCAGCCCACACCTGGTGAGTGCTTTAGCAGAAAGCATAAAAGTGTGTAAGAGTCTGGCCATTTCAGCCAATTGCAGGAAACCTCTGGTGGCCCATCCCTGCTCCAGAGCTCTCCACTGGGTTGGCCAAAGCTATGCGGGTTTGCATTACAGTTCAGCTTCTCAGTCAGCCCTATCTTGCCTTCTCCCATTTCTTTTTTTCCTCACAGAATTTGATCTCTAATAAACATCTTGCATCTCAAAAGCCATCCCATCATCTGCTTCTGGAGAGTCTAACTTGCAGCATCTTCCATGGTGTATTAATCAGGATTTTCCAGAAAAGCAGAACCAATAGGAGATACATTTATGGAGATTTATTTACTGTGGGAATTGGCCCACACAACTGTGGAGGCTGAGAAGATCCACGATCTGCTATCCGCAAGCTGGAGACCCAGAGAAGCTGATGCTGTAAGTCCTGGTCTGAGTCCAATGGCCCAGGAGCCAGAAGTGCTGATGTTCAAGGGCAGGAGGAGAGGGATGTCCCAGCTCAAGGACAGAGAGAGTTAATTCGCTCCTCCTCTCTTCCTCCTCCTTTTTGTTCTATTCGGGCTCTCAATGGATTGGATGATACCCACTGTATTAGAGTGTTCTTGTATTGCTATAAAGAAATACCTGTGACTGGGTAATTGATAAAGAAAAGAGGTTTAATTGGCTCACGGTTCTGCAGGCTGTACAGGAAGCATGATGCTGCTATCTGCTTGGCTTCCAGGGAGGCCTCAGGAAAGTTCCAATCATGGTGGAAGGCAAAAGGGGAGCAGGCATGTCACATAGCTAGAGCAGGAGCAAGAGAGGGGAGAGGAGGTACCACTCACTTTTAAATGACCAGATCTTCTGTCAGGAGGACAGTACCAAGGGGGATGGTGCTAAACCATTCATGAGAAACCCTTCCTCATGATCCAGTTACCTCCCACCAGGTCCCACCTCCAACATTGTGGATTACATTTCAATATGAGATTTGAGCAGGTGCACTCATCCAAACTCTATCACCCACCCACATTGGCAAGGGTGATTTTTATTCAGCCTGCTGATTCAAATGGTAATCTCTTCCAGAAACTCTCACAGACACACCCATAAATAATATCTTATTAGCTATCTGAACATCCCCTAGTCCAGTCAAGCTGACACGTAAAATTAATCATCACGCATAGATTCCATGCTTTAGTCATCCTGATTCCCTGATTCACTGTCACCTCAACAGACTTTGTGCCTTTCTGACTCCACTCCATTGTTTGTCCCACTGTCCACTCCTCTCTGCCGTGTAATAATATCTGGACAATGCTTCATAGTGTAAGTATTTCTCCATATGACATCAGATTTACTCCTCAACAACAGCCCTGCAAGGTGGGTGTTCTTATTCCCATTTTTCAGCTATGGAGACTGAAATTTAGATAAATATAGGGATTTTCCCAAGGTCCCCAGTTTCTAAGCGGAAACTGGAACTCAGAATTGGCAAGTACAGGAATGTCCGCAGATAACTTTCCTCCCTCTGGGTGGGCCTTGGAGATATGGTCCCAACAACAGTACTGTCTGTTACAGGAACTATCTGCGGTATTTGCTTAGCAGGTGGGAGGTAAATCACCTATCTGATTCCTTTGGATTCACACACTGAAAGCTCCCTGTTGAATTTTCCTGGGAACTGTAATGGCCCCTAGTCCCTTAAGCTGAACTAATATGTGATTTGTTCTGGAGTCATCTCTGGGGGTGAAACAGTTGTAGGGGAAGGCAGAGAGGTCCAGGACTGAGGGCTTGGGGGAGTTGCTGGTGGAGGCCCCCCGTGCTTGTGGATGATCATGGGCACTGAATAGGAGGAGGGGAATCTGTCATGACCTTGAGCCGTGGGCACACCAGCAATCTCTCCTTCTGCTCTCGGAGCTGCCTGGGAGTTGGTGTATAAATCCACCAGCCAGAGGGAGTGGGGGGATTCGCATCTGGAATTTGACAGTTCCTCCCTCAGTTGACAGAGGAGGGTCCGTGTGGAAGTCAGCTTGTAACCCTCCACCCAGGTGCTCCAGACCTGAGACAGATGAATGGGTGGCCTAGGTTGGGGAAGCACCCGTGCAAGCATTCCATCTCAGATAGTCTCGCGGCGGGTAGCCTCAACCTGACTTGGGAGTGGGGGAGCTCTGGAGTGTGAGTTATAGGTCAGAGGGGTCCCATGCATAGGCAAGGGAGCTGGGCTTTCATACTCCTCCATCCACCAGCCATTGGCTAAGGACTGCTCTGTCCTGGGGAAGCATAAATTTCCAGACATTTTCAGCTCAATTTCCAGACATTTTCAGCTCTCCTCAATAAAGTTGCTCCAGTAGCTATGGGCAGGCCTCCAAATAAGTTACAGGTTTTGGAAACAAAGGCACACTGAAGCCAGGGGTGGTCAAAAACAGTACAGAAATAGCCAGGGGAATGCAGGTGTAACACAGACAACAAGAAATTATGGGGACCTCTGGCTTTTTCAGTGTGTGATCAATGCACTTCTTCTCTCTTTATTTTTGCTGTGAGCTCCATGGGAGCAGAGACAGTGTAACTTTGTAGTCCCAGCAGTCAGCAGAAGGCCTGGTGTCCATGCCCAAATAACTGTTGCCACAGGGGTGGAAGATGGAATGTTTTGTCCAAGAGTGTAAAAGAATGCACAGAGCCAAGACTGAAACGGCTCTCTGGGAACAAGGCAGAGGTGTAGAGGCTGGACTGGGGCCTTAGCTGGCTCTGGAGTCATGGTTTTGAACCTGGGGCTGTTCTGCAGTTTCTTTGTTATCTGCTAGCCTCTCCCTTGGAATGAGTGATGCCTTCTGGGGATGTTAAATATCTGTAGCTGTTAACTATCTGTGCATGGATAGAGTGGAGGGAAGAAACAAAGGTGCCTCACGTCCCCCAGGAAAGCCCAGGTGGTTTGAAGAGTGAGATGTCTGGGTCAGAGGGAAGTGTAAGTGGACTTTTAGGTTAGGCGAGAAGTCTCCAGGGCAGAGCTGATTTAACTCTGAAAATAGCTGGAGGAGGACTTTAGTGGGTGCGTTTACTCTTGCTGTGGCTGGGTTTGGGTACTTATTATTCCTTTCAACTTTTTATATCTTTTTTTTCTTTAGGCCTGATTGTTACTCTCTTTCAGAAACAAGAGGACAGGGGTGGTAGCTCACACCTGTAATCCCAGCACTTAAGGAGGCAGAGGCTGGAGGATGGCTTGAACCCAGCCTGGGCAACATAGCGGGACCACCTCCACAAAAAGGGGAAAAAAAAAAAGGAAACAAGAACGCTCTGGGGACTGACTCATGTTAATTAAAATCACGAGATTGGTATTAAAAACTCAGGAAGTCATTATTAATTTACAGCAAGAAAGTCAGTCGTTTACTCATTTATTTATCCCATAAATATTTATTGAGTGCTGACCTAAGCCAAATTGGTCATGCATAACCCTAAAGTTCTTTCTAGAAGGTAATATAGCCTCCTGTATGAGGCAGGAAACAAAAACCACAGCGGTTGTTTTAACAGAGAGAATTTAATATAGAGAATGGTTAGCTAAGTATAAGGAATTATTAACTAGTTATTGAAGAACTCAAAAAGTAAAAAAGAGAACTCTATGGTATCACGAAGGTAGCAATTTCTGGAAGCAACTACCACCTCTGGGGAACAAAGGGGGAAAAGTTGGAATTATTAAAACCTAGAAGCTTGGAGGAGTGATCACATGGGGCTGAAACTCAGCAGCCTGAGGAAGGGGCACCTACTGGCTAGTGCTGGTGTCTCTGAGCTCAGAGGAGGGGCCCCACGGAGTGGAATCCAGACCTCTAAGGAGGATGAGCTGGCCGGCTGGCATCTCTGGGGTAGGAGATGATGAGGCTGGTTCTGTGGGCATTGCAAACCGGATTTAGCCGCTGTTACAGGAAGGGACTGCTGCTGCCACAGTGAAGAAGCATGGTGTGAGGGATGCCACTCACAGGATCAGGAAGCTAAGGGAAGAAGCCACTGGGAAGCCAGCAGAAGCCCAAAGGAAAAAATAAAAAAAAACCTCCCTTCTCCTCTAGCCTTGAGTCTCTCTCTAGTGCCTCCTACAGGCAAAGCCCAAGAGGGAGCAGCTGGCAAAGCAGAAAGGTGGTTTAAGTCCCAGCCCCAGTATCATAAAGAAGGGTGGGTTTGGAGCTGAGAGATGATCTCTTAATAACTGGCCGGGCGCGGTGGCTCACACCTGTAATCCCAGCACTTTGGGAGGCTAAGGCCGGCAGATCACTTGAGGTTAGGAGTTCGAGACCAGCCTGGCTAACATGGTGAAACCCTGTCTCTATTAATAATACAAAAATTAGCCAGGCGTGGTGGTGCGGGCCCGAAATCCCAGCTACTTGCGAGGCTGAGGCATGAGAATCACCTGAACCTAGGAGGCAGAGGTTGCAGTGAGCGAGATCATGCCACAGCACTCCAGCCTGAGAGACAGTGAAACTGTGTCTCAAAAAACAAAAAACAAAACAAAACTCTTAATAACTGATACATCTCCAAAGAGTCTTGAGGTGAGTGAGGATTAGCTAACCGCCCCCAGAAACCTTACCACCAGCTCACACAAAAGCAAATATCTGACCAAACTCTACCACATTTATTAAGCAAGCACTCGTTTAGCAATCCGGCACAAACACAATTGATGCAACCTTTTCTCTAGGCTTGAGGAAGTCCCAGCTCTCAGCCTACCCTTGCATGAAAGGTCACTGAAGGTGGATGCAACATTCCAGAAGCATCAGGGAACCAGAAATCCTCTAAAACTAAAGGTGGAATCAAGCCTCAGGTGCCATCTCTAAGGTACAGGGCACAGACCTTGCTAGATTCTGATAACCTCTTTATCAGAGTGGAGAGTGGTATCTCCAATGTATTCCAGTAAACCCATAGATCCGGAATACCTCTAATTTCACCAGCAAGAGTCTATTTCTAACATTCGTCATGCTAATTAACAAGTCACCAATTTCATCAATGAAAACCCATTTTTGACTTTCACTTTGCTAATTAGCAAAGCCTCAGGTATTGATGGAGCCTTTGTGATCTTGCATTTGGATGTGGTATTTCTGATACAAAGCCAACTGAGTAGCTGGAGAGGGGATTTTTGGTGAAGGCAAATGACTGACTGCCCCTGGAATTGGAGTTTTAACTGACACAGACATAATATCACGTTGTTCAGATGGAATTACTTCAAAAATCAAATGCAGAGGTTGGGCACGGTGGCTCATGCCTGTAATCCCAGCACTTTGGGAGGCCGAGGTGGGTGGATCACCTGAGGTCAGGAGTTCAAGACCAGCCTGGTCAACATGGCAAAACCCTGTTTCTACTAAAAATACAAAAATTAGCTGGGCGTGGTGGTGCATGCCAGTAATCCCAGCTACTTGGAAGGGTGAGGCAAGAGAATTGCTTGAACCTGAGAGGCAGAGGTTGTGGTGAGCCGAGATCATGACTGCCCTCCAGCCTGGGTGACAGAGCGAGATTCCTCCTCAAAAAAAACCCAACCAACCAAACAACAACAACAACAATAAAACAAACAAACAAAAAACAAACAAAAACAAAAAACAAAAAACTGCAGCGATTGTAACAAGTACTGTTGATACCAGGCACCACTGTGATTCAGTGGTGAACAAGACACAGTCTTTGCTCTCAAGTGGCTCACAGCCTGGGAGATGAACAATAAACAGGTGACTGCAATATGT